CACACTCACTAACACACACACTCACTAACACACACACTCACTAACACACACACTCACTAACACACACACTCACTAACACACACACTCACTAACACACACACTCACTAACACACACACTCACTAACACACACACTCACTAACACACACACTCACTAACACACACACTCACTAACACACACACTCACTAACACACACACTCACTAACACACACACTCACTAACACACACACTCACTAACACACACACTCACTAACACACACACTCACTAACACACACACTCACTAACACACACACTCACTAACACACACACTCACTAACACACACACTCACTAACACACACACTCACTAACACACACACTCACTAACACACACACACACTCACACACTCACACACTCACACTCACTCACTCGTTCTGATCCTGATTGAGACACGCTGGCCAGTTTCTTCTGGGAGCTTTTATCAATAGATACTGATATCCGAATAATCAAATTTAACCAAAGGTTGGACCTAGAAATACAAGTATTTTAAATGTCATAAACATGTACTTCCTTCATCATCAGTGTATATGTAAGCTGTATGTGTGAATGGCTGCTGTGTGTGATGATGCGGTGAGGTCAGCTGATGTCGATCGCGTGCCGCTTTGGCCAGAGACTGGGGACGGGCGCCGGATGTAAACAGGAGCGTGACAGATTGGCATGCTGGGATAGCGCGTGGGACGACAGCTTGTATCGGTGATGAGCCGCCTCTGTTCTGTTGCTTTGTTTTGGTTGGTTGAGTGTGTTTGAGGATTTATTTGAGCGTTGCTTTAATATCCAGTCATAATGTCACTTCCTCTGTGTGATGGTTTAAGCTGCATCAGATGCGGATCAGCGTCTGTGGCGGCTCTTCATGCTCACGTCTGTCTCTCATGTGTTCTTCTGTAACGCTGTGAGTGTGTGGTGTGAGAGAGAAGAGTCTTGAGGTTATTGCGTTATTGCTCAGGAAGAAATCACTTCCTCTGACGTCACACTTCAGATATCTCTCCGTGTGATTGGTCACTCAGAGCTCTGGTCAATGATAGTTGTGACATCATCAACAGGAAGTAAGTCCCTCAGCAAAAATGCAAGTATGAATCAAATCCTTGATTTATCTTTTCATTCAGAAGTGATTTTTTTTTGTATCAGAATCATGATTGAGTTTCCCATCAGCCTCCTGAATCTCTGAACGACCTGCGGTCCAATTCCAGTGTGTGTGTGTGTGTGTGTGTGAGAGAGAGGGAGAGACTGTGTGTGTGTGTGTGTGAGTGGGAGTGTGTGTTTCTGTGTGTGTGTGTGTGAGTGTGAGAGTGTGTGTGTGTGTGTGTGTGAGTGAGAGAGTGTGTGTGTGTGTGTGTGTGAGTGAGAGAGTGTGTGTGTGTGTGTGTGTGAGTGAGAGAGTGTGTGTGTGTGTGTGTGTGAGTGAGAGAGTGTGTGTGTGTGTGTGTGTGAGTGAGAGAGTGTGTGTGTGTGTGTGTGTGAGTGAGAGAGTGTGTGTGTGTGTGTGTGTGAGTGAGAGAGTGTGTGTGTGTGTGTGTGTGAGTGAGAGAGTGTGTGTGTGTGTGTGTGTGAGTGAGAGAGTGTGTGTGTGTGTGTGTGTGAGTGAGAGAGTGTGTGTGTGTGTGTGTGTGAGTGAGAGAGTGTGTGTGTGTGTGTGTGTGAGTGAGAGAGTGTGTGTGTGTGTGTGTGTGAGTGAGAGAGTGTGTGTGTGTGTGTGTGTGAGTGTTTTTCTCTCTCTCTGTGTGTGTGTGTGTGTGTGTGTGTGCCTCCTGCAGTGTGTGTTTGTAGACGGCTCTAGTCAGTCGTACAGAGTTTCAGCTTAAATCGTCGCTGGCTAGACGAAACGCACTTAAGATGATCTGCAGACGCTCTCACGCCTCTCAGCATCATGTGACGGATCCATTGATTCTGAGCCGCACGTCACGTTCAGATCGTCTTCATTGCTCCCCTGTGAGTCTCTGTGAATGTAAAGTGTGTTTTGTGTTGATGAAATGCCAGTATTGTGATTCTCCATGATGATTGTGTGACTGATGTTCAGCTGTCCAGCGGTCGGCCGCGGCACACTGCGCTTAATCCAGATCTCACTCCTGTTCTGAGTGTTTAATGCTGCTTCAGGAACGAAACTCGAGTCACATTTATTTCTATAGCACTTTGTATAATACAGATTGTTTCAAAGCAGCTCACTAATAAACAGGGAAATATCAATGAGTGATGCAAACTTAATGAAATATGATACAAATTCAATTCAGCTGTAATGCAGCCATGAAGTTTTGTTCTCATCCGATGGTGTCAGTGCAGTCATATCAATAACATTACTGAATATTAAGCGTCTTTTAAACGCGACTAAGCAAACCAAAGGTGACGGTGGAAAGGAACCCAAACTCCATCAGGTGTCAGAAATGGAGAAAAAACCTTGAGAGAAACCAGGCAATGAACAGCCTGCTTCTGAAAGTGTATATAATGACAGTGAACTAACAGAACTGAACAGCTAGTTAGTGCGGTGCAGAGCCGCTCTCTACTAGTCTCAGATAAACGTCTGTGTTCTTCATGTTCGCTGGATTTGTAGATGTCAGAATATTTTCTGCCAGATCTGGGTTAGTTAGAGCGTAACCCAGTCCATCCATCCAAAACTCACTTTCTGCGTTTCATACAAAAGTCAGTCGCCTCCGAGGCCCCAAACATCCGTTGTTTTCCCAGTTCCCTTGTTTACAGCCGAGAGATAAGGGCATTTCTCCGATAATTTGTGCTGATTCTTGTTTTCACACGGGCCGATATCAGCTGGATTCGGCTCTGTTTCTGCTGCGTCTATATTTAAACCCAGACTCCATCAGCCTCACTATCTGCTGCTGAGCGCCTCTCAGACGTAATTAACTGCTGCTTAAAGCCGCTCTCTGATAGCCACCCTGAGACTAAGATCCAGATTAAAGAGCGACTCAATCTCATGATCTGTAGATGTGGACTGGCTTCCACACGGATCACTGCAGGTTCTTATTCAGCACTCAGTCAGGTTTTGTCCACTCTGTTTCTATTGGCTCTTTAGCATTGATGCTTTCTACCAACGAGGCATCATAATGCGCCTGTGCTCCGCTGATAAGCTGCTAAACAGGAAGTCATAGCACACGAAGAGTTCCTGACCGTCGGCACTCCGGCTCATCGGGAAAGAGGAAGAGGAAACAACGCACGTTAGTTCCCTGTCAGAACCAGGACGCGAGGAGCGCTGTGTGTGTGTGTGTGTGTGTGTGTGTGTGAGTGTGTGTGTGAGTGAGTGAGTGTGTGTGTGTGTGTGTGTGTGTGTGAGTGTGTGGATTAATTCAAAGCAGCTTCACAGAAATAAACAGGAAAATAACAGAATCAATCAGGTTTGTAGAAATGTAGCATTGCATCAGTGTCTCAGCGATGGATGCTCTGCAGTGAATGGGTGCCGTCAGAATGAGAGTCCAAACAGCTGA